TCACCCTGATCCTCACCCTCACCCTGACCCTCACCCTGACCCTCACCCTGATCCTGACCCTCACCCTGACCCTCACCCTGATCCTCACCCTCACCCTGACCCTCACCCTGATCCTCACCCTGATCCTGACCCTCACCCTCACCCTCACCCTGACCCTGATCCTCACCCTCACCCTCACCCTCACCCTCACCCTGATCCTCACCCTCACCCTGACCCTCACCCTGATCCTCACCCTGATCCTGACCCTCACCCTCACCCTCACCCTGACCCTGATCCTCACCCTGATCCTCACCCTCACCCTCACTCTGACCCTGACCCTCACCCTCTGGTCTCAGACGTTCAGTGTGTGTTCTACTGATGGTTTTAAATCAGATTTGAGAATAAAGAGCTTTTAAAAACAAGTTTGTGTTTTCATTAGAAATGTTAGAACTTCCAGACCTGTGCTTTAGTCTGTTCTGAGTAAAGACTGTAACAGATGCAGGGCCGGACCGAGCGGGGCCGGACCGAGCGGGGCCGGACCGAGCGGGGCCGGACCGAGCGGGGCCGGACCGAGCGGGGCCGGACCGAGCGGGGCCGGACCGAGCGGGGCCGGACCGAGCGGGGCCGGACCGAGCGGGGCCGGAGGCTGAAGCAGTGCAAAAAACAATCATCGAGGATCTCTGACGCAGCGAGAAGTACTGTACGTTTTACTGACGGGATCTGGCTCATGGTGAAGCTCAACCAGGCTGATGATGATGAGCTGCAGGTGTTAAGGCGCGTTCAGACCAAAAGCTTCAAAAAGCTTTTGACGCGCGTCAGCTGACGCCGGGATATTTTTGTCATTTTGGTGCTTGAAGCTTTTGACGCGAGTGACGCGAGTGACGCGAGTGACGCGCCTGACGCTGGTGGGAGGAGCTTCTCTGTTGCCGGTGTAGTCCAGAGAAAATGGCGGATTTCCGAAGAGCAGCTTGCCTTTATTTGTTGTTCAAATCCATACAACGTCGTCGTAGGGCTTCTACACAACGTGTATGGGTTCACAGCATACTTCAGAGGCGTGCAGTGTTTGGCGAGTTTCACCATTTACTCCAGGAGCTGCGTATGGACGAGGCTCGCTTTCAGCGGTACTTCCGAATGTCAGTAGCCCAGTTTGATGACCTGCTCACCCGCATCGGAGCTCGCATCGCCCGCATGGACACCAACTACAGGCGCTCGATTCCAGCGGAAGAGCGCCTGTCTATCTGTCTGAGGTTAGTGAGAGAATTTTCTGATAAAATATCTACAAATACAATAGGAAATAGCGTCCCTAGCATGGATCACGGAGCGAGAGAGAGGAGCAGCCAAAAGCAGTAGTTAAACGTTGAATATACGTTTTAATTAGGACATAAAAGTTAATTGTAATAACATTTCAGGCGGGAAATATACCCCACTAATGTCATATCAGAGGTCTGTTTGGTGATTAAATAGATATTTAAATTTTTGTCGGACTTTTTCCCTCCAGCGCGGAGCTCCAATGCTAACCGGCTAACCACGGGTGTTGAGCGGCGCTGAACACCCGTGAACCCAAGGAGGCTTTTGTTACAGACTTTCTCTGTTATAACGATTGTATTTAGAGTAATCATTAATACAATTGATATATTTGCTATGGCCCTCGTTTGTGCATTTGAAGTCATTTTGAAGGTGCATTGTGTCACTGTAGTGAAGTTATTAGAAAACTGATCAATTAAATCAGCATTGTCTGCTACTTAGTACTTAATATATTCAGATTCCCAAGTGATTAACCCCCCTGTGATTTCACAAGAGAGGGTACATTTCCATTGTTGGTGCAATTCCTGAAAACAAATTTACACAATCATATTGTATGATTAATTTAAAATATTTTTGTATATTGCTGAGTCGTATTTGTATCATTGTAGGTTTCTTGCTACTGGGGACTCCTTCAGGACCATAGCAAGCAGCTTCAGGGTGGGCATCTCCACCATCTCCAGCATCATCCCAGATGTGGTGGCAGCCATCTGGGACGGCCTGGTGGAGGAGTTCATGCCTGTGCCTGGAGAAGAGGAGTGGAGGTTGTCTGCTATGGAGTTTGAGGAGCGGTGGAACTTCCCTCTTTGTTGTGGTGCTATAGATGGGAAGCACATCAACCTCAAGGCACCCCCCAACTCAGGCTCCCTGTACTTCAACTACAAGGGTAGGCACTCCTTGGTCCTCCTTGCTATTGTAGATGCCAACTACAAGTTCAGGGTGATTGACGTAGGGGGCTATGGCAGAACCAGCGATGGAGGGATCCTGGCCAACTCCACCTTCGGTCAGGCTCTGCATGCGGGAACACTTCCTCTGCCAGCTGACCGGCATCTCCCTGGAGCAGAGCACCGAGGCCCCCTGCCCCATGTCTTTGTGGCAGATGAGGCCTTCCCACTGCGGAGGAACTTAATGCGGCCTTTTCCAGGAAGTGGCGGCGCTAACCCTGGACAGCGCATTTTTAATTACCGCCTCTCCCGAGCCCGGCTGGTGGTGGAGGATGCGTTTGGCATTTGGTCATCGCAGTGGAGGATGTTTCGTCGGGACCTCGAGATCCGGCCAGAAGTTGTGGAGAAGTGCGTGAAGGCCACATGTGTTCTCCACAATTTCCTGAGGGTGTCTGCTCCGGTCCCAGTCCTGAGAGGAGCTGCAGCGCAGGGAGATGACTGTCTTCCAGGTGTCGGGAGGATGGGTGCCAACAACGCCACCAGAGAGGCACTGCAGGCGAGGGAGGCGTTCATGGCCCACTTCTGTGAGGAGGGGGCAGTAGCATGGCAGCCGACAGAGTAGTCAGATCCTCACGGGACTGACCCAAAACGGTTCTTTTAAGAGCCACCCATGAAAACTAAAGAGCATTTCTTCTTTAATAATATTTGAGTGTCTGTATTTGCCAATGCATTACTTTTGAATATCAGGACACAAATACTACAACATCCTGATCATGAATTCTAGTCTTGGATAAAGACCATGTCTATGTTTATCCAGTATGTTTTTGAACCATTCACCTGTGCCCTTCTTGTTTGCAGGTAATAGTTCCAGATTCTGCAGCTGTCTCCGACTTCACAACATGTTCAAGCATGGCCTCAATTACAAGTTTGTCCAAACAGGATATGCTGAAATTAATTATGTCAACTAATTTCTATTGTCTCATATTTGGTGATAACGTGTTTACGAGTAAAGTTCTCCTTAATTGAAGTATTTGAAATTAGTGATATTTAACTTATTTGAACACATACCTTAATGAAAAACCTGTACATATTTAAAGTAGCAGACCAAATCTTAAGTTATAAATTTTTTAATGAAATATGTAAAAACAAATATATACACAAAAAAGAACAGGAACAGGAATGAAAAGGACCTTGCTTGGAGGAGGAGGAGGAGTGCAGGAAGGAGAAGAGTCTGTTTCCTCCCCTGCAAAAGAAGCCACCTCATAGCTAAACACTACTACTAAGTGTGCTCCAATTGTTCCACATTAAGCGTAAATGCGCTGCTCTCATAAAGTAATTTATGAATTTGGAATTTGACAAATTCTAAAGATTGAGGTGGCACCTTATCCAGGAGAGGAAGCAGAGATTGGAGGAAGAGCTCATTTCGTGATGGAGCTGGAGCTGCAGTCTGCCGCAGGAGGGCCATCAGCTCCAGCTCCAAGCGCGATAGCTCCTGGGCGGAGGTGTCCTGGGTGGTGCGCTTCCTCGCTCTCTTCCTTTGTGGACCTGCAAACACCACAAGACAATGGCTTTAAAAATATAAAGTCATGAGTATGTAGGATCTGATAATCTATGAACAACTTTTAAATCCTTTTCTTATGTTAAATAAAATAACTAGATCCTATGTAAAAACAGTATTCGATTTGTATATTTCACTTTTTGATGCCCACATATTCAAAAGTATTTGTGAAATGTTTAATATAACGTTTATACATTCACAACAATAAAATTGATTTCCTACACACCTGTAGGTGCAGCAGCAGGGAAACGACCGGCAGCAGAGGAAGAACCAGCAGCAGAGGAAGAACCAGCAGCAGAGGACGGTCCAGGAGCCGAGGACGGTCCAGGAGCCGAGGACGGTCCAGGAGCCGAGGACGGTCCAGGAGCCGAGGACGGTCCCGGAGCCGAGAACGGTCCAGAGGCCGAGGACGGTCCAGCACTCGGCTCTGTCTCTGAACTTGACTCCGTATCAGCGTCATCTGTTATTAAATAAATTACTTTCACTTCACAGCACGTGTACAATCATTTTAAGAACGTTAATACTCATATAAATAACCTTGCTATAAACAATAATGACAACAAAACAGTTTAGTGGGAAGCTGCATGACTTCTTTCCATACATTGTTTTAGCTACACACCTACATCTGACATTAGTTTACAGCATATGTACATTTATTTTGCCAGTTGCTTATTAAGAACGTTAATACTCATAAATAACCTTGCTATAAACAATGACAACAAAACAGTTTAGTGGGCAGCTGCATGACTTCATTCAATACATTGTTTTAGCTACAGACCTCCTGCAACTGACACCTCCGCTGCTGCTGGTTCTTCCTCTTGGAGGTGGCTGTCCCCCCTCTCCTCCTCGGCCCTGTGTGCTGTCATGTTACCAGTAGATGGCCTCGGTGTTACGTAGGGCTCGAGGAAGGAGAGCGATGCCAAGTACCTCCACCTCTGCACTGTCCCTGCTGCTGCACCACTCCGCCTCTTCTCCTTCTCCTTCCTGCACTCCCTCATGAACCTGTCCCTCAGGCTTTTCCACCTCTTTTTGATTTCTTTCTCTATATGAACAAATGGACTTGTGAGCGGGAACAGAAATCATAGCGACTGTACATTGTACGACTCCTGACCGGAGTTTACTAAACATGGAATACAGATATGAATTCTTTACATAACTTACCATCGTACCCGATCTCCTCGCTTATCCTCCTCCAAGCAAGGTCCTTTCTATTCCTGTCCCTGTATAGCGGGCTGGAAACAGCGTAAAGCTCTGGGCGAGAGCTAATCGCCACGATTAAGCTCTCCTCCATGTTCTCGAATATGATTTTGTTTCCCGCTTCCACCGGCTTCATCGTAGAGCGACCCTGTCTCCTGATTGGTTGAAGCCCGCGTCAAAGCTTCAAAAGCTCAGCTTTGCTCAGCTTCGGCGTCAGAGGGATTGTTGTGATACGCGAGCGATTCGCGCGTCAAAAGCTTCAAGTGAGCGCGTAGTACGCGCGACCTTTGAAGCTTTTGACGCGCGCCAAGTGACGCCGGGCCCCTCGGCTTCACCTGACGCGCTTCACCATTCACTTTCAATGCAAACCTGACGCTTTTGACGCCGAAGTTAAGTCCGGTGTGAACGCCCCTTTAGAGGGCAGGGGCAGGACCAGGGGGCAGGACCAGGGGGCAGGACCAGGGGGCAGGACCGGGGGCAGGACCAGGGGGCAGGACTGCAGAGACTCCACCCAGCTCCAGGAACCCTTAAGGAACGCCCCCTGGCGGACCACCAGGCTTGCCAGGATTAGCCCGATGGAATTCCGCAACCAGAGCAGGGTCCAAAATACAGGCCCAGGGCCATACTCCTCCCAGTCCACCAAGTACTGCAACCCCCCCCACCACATCCAGGAGGCGCCTAACCGAAAACACAGGGCCACCATCAATCACCAGGGGGGCGGAGGGGGACCGGCAGGAGGGCACCAAGCCTCGGTGATCCAAGATGGCGCCCTATTCAAATGAATGGCT